GGGTTCGGGGTGGGAGGACCAGCAGCTCACCTGCATTCCTGGACCAGCATGTGCACACCAGAATGCCCCGCGCTCCCCAGGTGCCAAGGAGGTGCCAGGGACCTTCCTGATGCACCCTTCTCTTATCTGCCAGGGATGGCAGACACCTGTGGATGTGGTTCCTGCCTTGTCATAGCAGCAAAAGAAACACAGTTGACACTGAACATCATGAACAAAAAGCCTGGCAGCGACCATAGTAAAGCCAGGCCACAGGCAGCCACAGCGTCCCCTGCCCTCACTCAGGCATAGCCCATAAGTCACAGGGGCACAGCAATTCCCAGATCTGCTTGAAGAAAAGTCTCCTGCACAAGGTCTTCAGGATGAGATGTTTTTATTCATCCCACAGTCACTTGTTTGTTTCTTTCTCCTTATAAGACATGGAATTAAATTTGCAACATTCTCAAAGTGCTAAGACTAAGCGTGGGCTCTGGACCAAGCAGCAGTCTGCGGGCTGCAGGGCAGGTGAGAGCAGCCTGTGCCTGTCCCTCGGCAGTCCCCAGCACCACCTCCTGTGGACAGGACCGGTGTGTCCTGGGGCCCACCAGGCCCGGCCCGCAGACTGCTGCACTGAGGCAGACACCTGCGCCCCCCCACACTGGAAAGGCTCCCCAGCAGCAGGGGGAGCATCCTAACCACATCCTGGGAGCTCGCATGCACAGCTCTCCTCACTGACTTCTCAGACACAGTGAAGACATGGAGAAAATTTCTCTTGATATTTTCCCTGTTGAATCTCAAACACTTTCCCTCCCACTGATTTCACAGGGCACTTTCCTGGTCCTGATTTGTAAGCCATTGGGCTCTGAAGCTGAGGAATTCACAGGGCTGGTGACAGAGCCTGTTCCTGGCCTGGCTGGCTGGGGAGCCTTTCCCAAATGTGGGTGCTCAATCCCACAGAGCCTGCACTCGCGGCCCTGGCAGGCCAAGGGCAGTTGGCACAGAAATGTGAGCTTCACTCTGCAAGTGTTGGTTCTTCTGCAGTCACTGTCTGCAGACAGTTTCCCGGCCTCTGTGTGAAGCAGTGAAAACTTACACAGACACAGAGGCTTTGCGGGGAATGGTGCTACAGGGGGCTGTTCACCAACATCCGGGTTCTCATCAGGGCACCTGCTGGAGGACTTGCTGTGGTGACTGAAAGGTGAGCTGGAGTGACACGGGTCACCTGCATGCAGAAGTCTTTAGGAGCCATTACACTGGCTGCCACATTTCTCACCCCTCACTGCCACCTGAGGTCAGCATGCATCCTCTGTACAGGGCCAGACAATAAATATAATATTTTAGGCTCTGTGGGGAATATGATCTGTCACAACTAAGCAGCACCTCTGCTGTGGCCTGAAAAACAGCTACAGACAATGTATAAGTGAGCAGGTGCATCTGTGTTCCAAGAAAACTTGATTTACCAAAGAGGGAGTAGGACAGACTTGGCCTGAAGGTGTGCTGATGTCCAGGGAGAGGGCAATGTGGAGCAGGCAGGCCCTCAGCTGCCCATGATAGGCATGCAGTCTAAGTGAGAAGTAAGCCTCTGAGGGTTTGTGGCTGCTTGTTATCACAGCATAACCTGGCTCACACTGACAGATATAGGGTGTTCCAGACCTACATGCACCCCTTAAGGTTCCTCAGGCAGTTTGGTGATGACTTTAGTCACCTGGTTGGTTTCTTATTTGGTTTATGGGAGAACTATTCTAAAATGTAAGTAATCATTTCCTAATTTGATCCAATGGCAGTTATAAACAAATAATTGGATTTTTAAAACTGGATGTGGGAGCAGTTTTAGTCAGATGTTCACCTGTCCAAGGGTCTGGGATCGCTTGTCACAGCACATGACCTCCTTCATCCTGACAATTCTAATGGGAGAAGAGCTTTGGCGTTAGAGCCCAGGCCCTGATTAGATGGCAGAGGTGCCTGGGAGAATAGGGTTTGGAACTTGCAGGATCTTAGGTTCAGGAATTTGTGAGAAGATGGAATAAAGAAGGGGAAGCAGGTTTGAGGAAATAGGACAGTAGCTATTCTCTGACATATTGAACTTGAGGTACCGCTCCAGGTGAATCTATTAGGTAGTAAAATATCTATAGGTTAGAAAAGGACTGTGACAGGAGCTGTGGCTGCGAGCAGGCTGGGCACCACCCACCCTTACCCACCACCAGCCTTCCAGACCTCAGCTGACACCACAGCAGAGAGAGGCTCTGGGAGCAGACAGCCATGACTGGATAGACGAGGTGCCCTGGGTGTCACAGCTGACACCTGGGGGCTCATGATTCATTCCCTGACCCTCCGAGGAGCAGAAAGAACCACCACCTATAGCACTGACCTCACCCTGAGGAGAGGCCACCTGTGTCTGACAACAAACCAGCCAGGAGGCTCTGCACCAGCTCCACTTAGCACACGAGTACACCGAGACTCCAGAAGCGACCAGGCAACTCTCCTAGGTGACACAGCTAGTGAGCAGGGGCCTCTGCCCGCCACTGCCCTGTGCCAGGTCCCAGACCAGGCTTCACAGAGTGCCCGCTGCTCTCTGCAGGAGCTGGCAGGCACTTTCCACTCCCCTGGCCAGAGGCCAGCCCTGAACATTTTACAGCAAAGGAAGGTTAGGTGGCCTCTCGCCACCACTCCAGCCTGGAGCCAGGGGCAGGGCCGGATGAACAAGCCCGCGGGAGCTGTCAGAGCAAGCTGTCACTCACACCATCTGCTTCCATTTCCTCTGGGTGAATGAAAAGAATGAAAGCTTCCAGTTTTCCCTAGGGTGACCTGTGCCTGGAGAAGCCCAGACAGGGAGGGAGCACACATAGGCCTGAGGTGTCCCAGAGGCACGCTACCTGCTGCTAGGACCCTGAGCATTCTGTCACAGCTACTGCATTTTAGGGCCATTTCTATAGAAACCACAATCCCAGCACTGCCTTTCTATTTTAAAGGAACACAAAAGAGAGCTAGAAGAATCAGTGATATTGAGGATCTGTATCTCAGCTACCTAAGGGCTCTCTTGTCCATGTGGCTCAGGGGCTCGGCTCAGCCACACTGCTGCTGTGTGTGTGTGGCTGTGAGGATGGGTGCATTTGCTTTTTATATGGTTCATGTTCCTCCACAGGGCTTCAGAATGAAGTCAGTTAAAGGGCAGCAGGACCATCTTGTGTTGGGCAACCATTCTGATCTATGGTTGCAGGCACATAGGGTTTTTAGGGAGACTCATTTCCCCAGGCCTCGCACACCAGTCTGGCTGGGAGCGCACACAGGCGTGGCCCACCCTGCACCAGCCACCCCTGCACTCCAGAAGAGAACTTGCTGGAACCCACAACCCAGGTCTCACAAAACCTCTGCCCCTTGTTGCCAGGAAGCCTTGGGTGTGCTGCACAGGAGCAGACAGGGCTGGTCTGAGTTCGAGGTGAGCCTTGTCATCTCACAGGGGCCAAAATCACCCATGCCCCTGGGCACAGAGGAGCCCGGGGGGTTCCTGCTATGCTGGCCTGGAGCCTATCTTCATCATGCCAGCCTGGCACTTGGAGGCCTGTTTGCTGAGGAAGGCAGGCCTGCAGAGTCTGGATTTTCCAGATTGGTGACCACAGAGCCCACTTCTGACTCCCAAGTGCAGAACTCCGGGACTAGGTCCCTCTTTCAGGGCAAATCCAGCCTGGTGGGGAGGAGGGTCCATGAGGCGGTGGCCACAGCAGGACCTGGTGTTCGGCATGCTCTAGTAGCCCTGGGTATGTCCTCTAGGTCGGCCAGGGGATGGGCAGCCCAGTGTGATGCACAAGACCAATAAAGCAACCCCTAACCAGAAAAGCAGCATGGGAGCAGTGGCAGAACCAGGGGCTAGTCTCTGGGGCAGCCCGACCATGGACAGCATGCCTGGGCTGTGGGAAATAGCACGGGGAAGTTCATCCTAACTCCCGGCCGCTCAGCTCACCCCTTATTTCTCCCAACAACTGAAATAAATTGGGACCGGTGAAAACTGCTTTGCTTGACCTCTTGCCCTTTGTAATGACCTTCATTAAAATTCGGAGCCTGGCCATAACTTTCACCTGAAGTCAAAAGGACAGGAAATGGGTCTCAAGGTTCCAGTCACCTCTAAAATGAGCTAATACAGCACTTAATTCTAATGGAACAAAGTGGGAACATATTTTTAAAAATCTGTTTCCTCCTGCTCTGGGGGTTGTCTAAGTAGAGCCAGACTGCAGAGCTAGACTACAGAGCCATTGGACCGCTAGCACCCATGGGCCTGCTTGCTCGTTTTTAGAACTCCCAGGGAACACTGAGGGTGGTGAGCTGTGGACCAGACATCCTGGCAGCCCTGGGTAGTTAATTGAAAATAAGGCCTCCCTTTCTCTTATTCTCCCCCTGCTCCTTTATCTTACTCGTGGAAGTAGAGCTGATGCCATGCCTAGAAATAGAAGGCATCTGTAAGAATCTATAATAATAAAAGGGTAATATGCTAATTAGACTGGACATCATTCTGGACATCATTTGGATGAAGCCGGGGCTGGAGGGAAGCCCAGGTCCTGGGTGCCAGAGGAAGCTGGTGCCCAGAGCCAGGGGAAGGAAGGCCTACTCTTGCACAAATTTGTGCATTGGGCCTCTAGTAATGATATAAGTACTAAACAATGTGCTCAATCCGGTTCTGAGGTCTGGCCGTTCCACTCTTTGTTGAAAGCGAAAGGAGTTGGCAAGTGTTAAAGAGATGCTAAAAACATCCAACACTAAACCAGGACATCATCCATAACACCATCAGATCGACTGAGTGCAAACTGAGACAGGATAATGTTATTCAAAGGCTATGCCAATCACATATCTGCCCTGGTAGTGACAGGGAGACACACCCATCAGAGGTCTTGAGAATAGGCAGCGAGAAGGGTGCTGCCTTGACTTCCTCCATGCTAGTTCAGGGGACGGATGCTGAGCTCCGATCTGAGGATGGAGCCCCAGTCCCAGGAAGGGTGTGCAGTGCCTCCCTGTCCATGCCCCGAGGATGTTACCTGGGTGGGAGCACTGCAGGACACATGCGCCAGGTCCTGGATCCTGGCCGTGGCCCGGGGGTCGCTGGAGCTGATCAGCACTGGAGCACTGATTTCCACGGAATGCCTGTGGCTGGCAGCCTGTGAGGACCTGTGTGTCAGGCTGACCGCGGTGAAGGAGTGGCGTTTCTTGGCATTCTTCTTGCCGTCCACACGTTGCTGAAAGGCACTGACTGCCCCTGTGCTGCTTAAAGTGAGACCTGGGGCCACACTGGCCACCGTGCCGGGGTCAGAGGGCAACGAGGCATGGCAGTCAGACACAGCAGCTGGGCAGAACTTGTCCATTGCAATAAGCTGCTTGGCTGAGTCGTTGAGCTAAGTGAGAGAGGGAGAGGGGCTTCGTTAAATAAGGATCACACGCCACACCCAGCTTTCCGAGCTCACCCAACCTGCACTCACAGTTAGAAATGGACACTGTGCTCAGACTGACCAGATCTTTCTAACAGGGCATCAGGTATGAGAGGTGCAGCCAAACACACAGCGAAGGCTGGAGTGCCATCTGAGGAGTTTATTGAAAAGTATCTACCACATCTGCCCCAATGGAGCCCCCTGTTCCTGGGCTGCCCATTTCTGAGGGACCAGAGAGAGAGCAACAAGGAACACCTAGCCATTATCTGCCAGTCACCATGGCAACAGGTTCTTGGCCTGCCTTGCAAATCTGGTCACCCTGGCAGGAGAATTCAAGGCATGTGACCAGAAGGCACTTTCTAACCAGTGGTGGCTGCAGGTGGCAGGAAAGTGTGGCTGGTGAATAGGAGCCTGACTCCGAGCTGACCTGACCTGGTTCATGAGGGTTTAAAACTGCATTCTTTCCAGCAAATCTGCAAGGGCTCGGGGCACAACTCCTTCCTTGCTCTCCCACCCGTGGGGCCTTTACAGGGAGTTTGATCCCCGTGGAGCTTATCAAGGAAGGCAGGATGGGTTCCAGTCCCTGACAGCCTGCGTACTTGGGCCCCAGGGCTTCAGGCCCCACAGGCAGGCAGTGCCTGAGGCTGGAGGGGCTCTGGGAGAGAGGAGCCCTCTCCTGTTGGGGTCCAGCGGGGCCTTGATTAGATGAAGGGTCAGTTCATCGTCTAGGAGCCAGAGTGTGCCCCTGGCTCTTCCACCTGGAGCAAGCTTTTCATCCAAGGTGTACAACAGAGCTGCTTTCCCTGAGGCTGCACTAGTCTCTACCTCTGTTCATGCTAGAGTGGGAACTTGCAGCAACTGCAGGACTGAAGCAGAGATGGCCGGTTCCCATGGGTTCGGAGTAGCCAGGAAGGACACGCACTGCGAGAATGAGCTGGGCCCGTCTGAACAGGCAGTTAAATAAATCATGCTAGACAAACGTCTGTGGAATTCTATTATTTCTCCCTCTTTTCAGAAGTAACTGAAGAAACAGAGTCAATGCCAGCTAGCCCCTGGGACCTGCCCTGGGAAGCACAAAGGTATATAGGAGGGAACTTGAGCCACTGGTCTGTTTTCTCCTCCCCAGACAGAAAGGATGTGGGATGGGAGCCCTGGTGGAGCAGGCCTGGCACATACTTGCCTGCAGAGTCTGGAATGATGCACGGGGTTCAGACGGGAGCAGTCTGGGATGATGCACTGGGTTTGGGCAGGAGCAGGGAGAGCAAATGCGGCAAGAAAATCCCTAAGGGCAGGAGACCCTTGCAGGCAGGTAAATGCAAGGACCCCAGCTGTGCACCTACCTGTCAACTTCACCCTGTGCAGGAGCCACGCCCATGTCCTCAGCTGAGGGGGAATGTGGGCTGGAGCCTGATGGGGCCAGGCCAGAAAGGGCAGTGGAGTCTGGCCTCAGGCCTGGGTTGGGAGATTCCCTCAGCCCGGAGCCATGGAGGCTCTCATTCAGGGTCACTACCAGGGTACGGAGGCCACTGCTAACATCTTGATAAGTTAAAGGATTTTAAGAAGACAAAACTCCACTGAATTGCAGCAGTGGGAGCCCCGATGCAGCCCCTCTGCAAGACCAGGCAGATCCTATACACACCACTGCCCTGGGGGCCCTTGGGCCATCAGCATCTTCATTACAAACAGCATCTTTCAGAGGGAGGATATGAAAATCTCACTCCAGGCCCCCAAACGGGTGATCTAAGTCCAGGATTGTTTACCTTGAAATGTTTCCTCCAACAAGCTCAGCTGCTTTGCCCTATTTTATGTCTTTTATTTGCTTGCTCCCTCAACAGTCCTAGCTTGAAGAACACCACAGCTCCTGTCCCCCACAGCCCTGTGTGGGCTCTCCAAAGGGGACCTCGGACTATGGTCTGCACCCACACTGCAGGGCCAAGTACAAAATAGAAAAGCTGGAAGGCACAATGCCCCTCATTATGGGCATCAGAATATATATTAGTTCACGCAAACACTCCATCCATGCTTTTGTTCCGACCCTTCGGTCCAGTTTAAGAACCCATTGTGGCCCTTGAGTCAAAAAGTTTGCCCACCCCTGGTCTAAACACTCCCTGTGTGTCTCCACTTGGAAGGTTATTATACAGAATTAATAACAGAATTCCATTCTTCCCCAAAGCAATGGCCCTGGACTATCTCACTGAGTTCCACTGTTCCTCTGTTGAGTAAGTATTAGGAATTCCAATTTCAAGAACAGGAAATCCAGGCACCTACAGGTCAGGTGTGTGCACATCTAGCCCACTCGATGCCATAGGGAGCTGAGCACAGTGCCAGGAGCGCTGCACTGCCCACCGCTGGCACTGCTGGCCACTGCCTGAGCCCGTCCTCAACCACACTGCCCTCTCCTTCTCCACGGAGAACCAGGGTGCAAGGGCATGGTGCCTTTCTCACCCACCCCGTAACAATCCAAAGCCCATAATAGGTGCTGAAAGTGAGGGCTAATACATTTCCAGTGACTATAGTGCTTTCAACAGACTATAGGAAAATAAGAACTTCAGCTTTCAGGTGATGAATCCACACATTTCATCAGCAGCTCTTAGAGGTGAGGGGACATCCAGGGAAAGTCCTACTGATGAGGAACTGTTCAATTTTGTCTTCTTTACTAAATTGTTGTTGGTGACAAGTAGCTTCTTATTGAAGATATAGATAGATAGATGATAGATAAATAGATAGATAGACAATAGGTAGATAGATAAGATGATAGATTGAAGATAGATAATAGATAGATGATAGATAGATAATAGACAGATAGATAGATGATAGAAAATTACCCAGGCATTGACCATCATGCCTGGAGTCCCGGGCTTGCTAGACTTTGATAGGTGCAGTGGGAGAACTTCAGCTCTGGGACTTGCTTCTGGAGACAAAGCTCACTGTCCAGGGAAGCTGCCATCACCTTTCTAACAAGCTCCAGGAGCCATGTGACATGGTGCTCAGGGCTGGGCCTGGCAGCTGGCACCACCAACGCTGTCCCGGTTTGAAAGCCTCTCTCTGGGTGCACATGTCCACACCACATAGACCCACCGTTGCAGGACACCTGCAGCTACCATGACCTGCCACCAGTGGATCCTACATCAGACTCTTCAGAGCAGCCATAATATCCCATTTCCTCCTACTCTGACTGTGCAGATGGCTCTTCTCTGTGCTGTGTAGGCACCGCGGCTCAGTTTCCCAGGGCCTAGGGGACCCAGGAGATAATGAGCAAACATGGGAGATTTCCTCTTCCTTCCCCCACAACCAGAATGCTAGAATGTGCTGTAAGTGGCTGCTGACTGGGGAGCGGTGGAGTGTGGTGATGTGGACAAGTGCTTCCTGCCTGAGGGTGCTCCCCTCTCTCAGCCAAGATGCTCACCTGGGAGTGAACGGGCTCTGCTGTCTGTCCACAGGTGGGGTCACCTGATTTGTATCTCAAGTGGGTACCTCCAACCCCCACAGACAGCACACTCAGACAGACTGTGCTTTTGTCTCCACACACATAACACAAAAATCAATGATTAACCAATGCATCCAGTAACTCCAATTTTGATTGTTCTTTATGGAAATAGAACACATTTTCAACGACCATACGAAATGGAAACAAAGTGGCAGCCCCAATGTTTAAAAGTCTTGATGAGCTTGTCCATTTATCAGAGGACCATCACTGGCTCTTGGAAAGGAGGGACCCCCCTCCAAGAGCCTGCTCCCTCATGCTCTGTGCTCAATCCACACACTCCGGGGAGCACATCCGGGGGCAGGTCAGCTCATAGTCACACTGCCCTCTGCCGGGGTCCCGTCTGGGCAATGGGACAGTGATGGTCAACCAAGGTGGCTTCCCTGTCAGGGACTCTGTATCCTGCCTGTGTGGTTAGCAACTGTGGATGAAAAGGGGCCACATGCTAACCGGACTAGCTCAGGGGAGGCCTGGGTGGTGGCTTTGCAAACTCAGAGACCTAAAGTAACCACAAAGGAGGTCTGAAATGAAAGCTTTTAAAATAAAAGCAGTTTATGGAAGATAGTCATGTTCTAAGCTAGAATCTTCCCTGACAAAGGTCAATCTTTACCTTAATTAAGTCTGTCTATTGTCTTTTGCATCTAAGATAACATACCTTTGGAATGTCAAAGTAAGTCCATTTTTCTGGACCCCTCAGACCACAACCAATGCACCTGGATGAAGACCCTAAATTTCCTCATTGCTATTGTTATCATGTTCATTATTGACTATTAACTACACGTACCCACCTATGTAAAAGAAGTATGTCTATCATTTCACTTTTCATCCACTCCCAGAGGTTCCCTCCCTCCCCACCACCTGTTTTGCTTTCTCCCACCTCCCTAATCTATCACCAAGGGATTTCATGTAACCCACATACACGTCCTCTTTTGATTGTAATGTATAAAACAAGGTGCAGAACTGCCAGTCTCTGGAGCGTTATCTCAACCAATTGAGATTTTGCCTCCTGGCAGTTGTCAGCAGTTTGGCTCAAATAAACTCACAAAATTCTCTATAGGTTTGAATGTTTCTTCTGTTAACAGGACCTTCTTTTTAAGATTTTGTCTCACCAACTTTATTAGCTCAGCTGTGATATTCCTATACAACCACTCTTTTCCTCCAACCATAGAAACACCTAGAAAAGTAGGGAGGACTGTGGAGTTCCTTCCTTCCATTGTTTAACTAGTTCTACAAGTGGCCTGTTACAATAGGCTGTATCATCCTAGCTGCACCGGAACTTGGGGACCAGGTGGACTAAAGAAGGCTCTCCACAGCAACTTATAGGAGCCATGAGCCCCCCGAGGGGGCCTGAGGCCAGCACAGATTTGGGTACTTGGTTTGGGAAAGAGCCGCCAGGCCCTGTGCAGAGTGCGGTCACCCAGACACACCTGTTCTTATTGAGAGGACTTTAAGTTGAATGTGTGTAGAAGGAATTTTTAAACAA